TTTTACAACACTAGTCGGAACTATGCGAGAACTATCAAGAACTGTCAGAAAGTCGATCGAAACTAGCAGCACTGCATACTTTCCACAAACGAGGTGCCAGCGGACAGATTGGAAAATTGTTTTTGAAATAGTTAACGGGCGGAACTATTGTTGAAATGTTGTCAAAATGGTCGGAACTATGTGAGAACTGTCAAAAAAATCGGTCGGAACCGTGCACGGATTTTTTTTCTTAAAATTTATCCTGAAAATCATGTAATCGTGGGACAATATGACATTTAAAAAATTCATAAAGTACTTCAAAATGCCATGTTGTTCCACGATTGCATGATTTTCGGGGCAAATTTTGAAAGAAAATTCTCTCCGTGTACATTTTTAGAGAATAAGGTACTGGCTGTGAGATTAGAAATTGATTAAAAAATAGTTAACGAGTGAAACTAAATCGTTAAATTTCATCAGAAATTATAACACCCTTTACAGTTCCGCGTGTAGAATTTTATAGTTTTTTTATAGAATTTTATAGTAGTTATCAGATTTTGTAATTGAAATGATTCTTTTCGCAACTTGAGGTGTCACGCAAAGTTAGCACCTTTTTTTCAAACGTCATTTTATTCTTTCTAATCAATGTAACCGTTTCCAAACTTTATTTTAGGAACTGCAGGACTATATGCAAACGCGGAAGTGTTGAAACTTTCGATTTTTACAAATGAGCTGCCAACTTTACAGTGGCGGAAGTTCATCCCCGTACTCGTTAACGCGCAAGATGACACGACGAGCAAAGTATCTGTCCATGCAACGTGGACCAGAAGCGGGGAAGGGAGCAGTCGCCTAAGCGTCTCTAACCGTAGAGGGGACCTGGTAGTTAAAAACAGACTAAGGTTGCCAAAGTTCCAAACAGACGCGTCTTTGTCATCGCGCGGACATCTCCGGGCGTCCGTCTGCGCTCGGTGCCGAACGTTCGGAAGTCGCGGCGGCAAGTTGCGTCTCTCCCTCGTCTTCGAGGCGTACGCGAACGTGCGTGTGCGCGACCGCGAGAGCTGAAGGCCGCAAGAGCGAAGTGCGACGAGAAAGTGAAACGTCGACTCTCGTTCTCTCGACTTCGAATTGCGAGGCGCGCGAAGTTCGTACTCCGTGAGCTCCGTATTTCTCTATGCCACACGTCGGCTATTTTTACTCATCCGCGAGCTATCACATCCTCGAGTAGTGTCGCCCATGTGATTGCCGCGGAATATCGTGCACACGGTCGCCCGATTCGACGTGATCGTCGCTCTCGACGTTTCATTTTCACCGCGAAAAAACGACGCCCGAGATCTCCGTCGGCCTTAAAGCCGCCCCGGCGGTTCAAACATCGTCTCCTCGACTTTATCCGAGTAAACGGAAAGCAATCGCGACGATGGCGAAAAGCGTCTTTCGGATACGTAGTGCCTCACTATCTCTCTTTCTCGGTACCAGCAACGACCTTGAGGAAGCCCGTAGTCGATAAATATTAGTTCGATCCCGAGCAGCTTCCGAGTGCCACAAATATATGCGCCGACCTCTCTATCCCGGGAGATCGCGATAAAAGTGCGGTTTACGCTTCCCCTTTCTCTCACTGTCTTCGCGCATCGGCGGAAACGTCGCGCATGACGCGATTGTAAAATGAGATCGAAATGCCGGTCTCGACGGCGACACCACGGTAATCGCGACGAGGCTCAGACGTAGCCACTGGCCGGCTAACGTTTCGCGTTAACGGACACTTCCGGTTTCTCGGTGCGGCATTCGACCATGGCGGAGACAGAAAAGAAATACACGCACGCGTACGGACAGTTGCGCAGATTGACCAGCACGATAGACAGTCAAATTAGGCAGTTGAGTGTAAGTAAGAACGCAGATCTCTGCTGTCTGAAAGTCAATTATCACTGGCAACAGTGCACTGATTGACTTCTAGAGAGTGGATGGCAAGAGCTTCAACGCTTCCGCGCGACGTATGGAAATTGAAAAGGCAATTTTTATCCGGGGAGGTCGTGGACGTAGTAAAATTCACTCGTACAGCCAATTGCGCCGTTTTGTCGCGAGACTCGCTATCACGTTGCGACACGTTATTATTAATAATTCATTGTACGACCTCCCTTCGCGCCGGAGTCTCTGGCGTCGGGCATCTCGCCAAAATTTCTTCGGTATCTTCTCTGTATCATGCGAGAGCGGGTCATAGAAGAGTAGTAGTTAGAGCAAAGTCATTCGCCCATAATTAAGAGGCAGTACTTTGAGGTGGCGCTTAGTATTGCGTGCATTCACGCGTGTAATTAGAAAAACATAATCTCTAGATGCGTTATGCGTACGGGATGATAGGACGTTTGTCCTTTTCTCTGTTTCAGTCCGAGTATGGACTCACAGAAGACCAGGTAGCAGGTGAGTTGACTCATTATGCAATCTTCTAATTAAATTAACGAAAAATTTGCGGCAATTCTGAAATTTACTTTTAACATTTTGCGTTACACGATACACAAAATACTTTGTATCCTTAACGATATTCTTCGTAATCGATATCTTTTTTATTTGCACCAATTATTGTTACTTATTCATCTTGTTCATATAAGAATGACATTTCGACGCGTCGCCAGACACGTGAGGGACATAAAGTTGATTGTTATGTGGTGTAAGTGCGTGCCAGTTGGCAGTAGTTTTTCCCGTTTACCTAATGTCTCGATGCTGAGTCAGTTAATGTAAGTGTTTGAAATAATTTAAAAGACACAGAACATGGTAGATGAAAAGATACCGGCAATGAACACTGTTTTACTAGATGATCTAAACGAATAAACGCGCCGAACATAAATAATTGACGACGTAACTTTTACCACCACGCGGATGGCTCGTTATTTCTAATAACATCATCGTTGACACGCGATGATATTGATTATATACAACACACGCTCTAACTCGCCGCGACATTTGTGTTCTTCTGGTTATATCTTGTCCCTCATAATAATACTGGACAAAAACGGGACGGAAAAGAAAGCCTTTGTAGATGGCAATAGGTATATTAAAAGAAGTTAATTAAAATATATTACGTACACATATTTTAGTTTCTTCCTTTACTTGTCAGATAATTGAGATATCAATTAAAGAAATTCCTTGCGTGAAAAGCTGCGTGTAAAAGAAATTACCGATCCAAAAGTTCGAAGCTAAAGTTTAGCCATAATTCAGGATTGAATTCTATTTGTAATTTGACGTGCCCTGAAAAATTTGAATACACAAAGAGGGGAAAATATATGAAATATATACGATAAGTGCACGGGAATTCTATTATGAAATCTAACACGAATAATAGATTAATCTAGAGCGGTCTTGATAGAAAATGTTAATATAAGAAATGAGAATAGAACAAAGCACTGTGTACGTATATAGTGTATGTTTCCATCGAGCTTTGCAATTAACAATTAATCAGTGCATAATGAGGCGCCCGAGAAGTCGTTTCAAGTGTACCGAACAATAGCCATTTGTCTCGAGCACGGTAATGATCTGCACGATAACGACGAGAAATCCCGTTATTTCAGAATTCAAAGAAGCATTCATGCTCTTCGACAAGGACGAAGATGGCACGATTACGATGGCGGAATTAGGGGTCGTTATGCGGTCTCTCGGTCAAAGACCATCGGGTGAGTGATTTGCCCCACGCGAATCTCGAACGTACGTCCGGGACATCGATGTATAAAGCAAGCGGCAATGCGTCGTCCTCTTTCAGAGACGGAACTGCGCGATATGGTGAACGAAGTGGATCAGGATGGCAACGGCACCATCGAGTTTAACGAATTCCTGCAGATGATGTCGAAGAAGATGAAGAGCGCCGACGGGGAGGACGAGCTTCGCGAGGCGTTCCGGTAATAAGCTCTCCGCTATTGTAAGAACTCCGAGTGTCTAATTGCCCCTGGGACAATCGCATTGAAAGAAGGTCCCGAGGCAACTTTCGCCCGCGGGGACAATAGTGTTTTCGAGATGTAGATAAGCCTGGCAATTTAGCACTTTGCCCTGCTTCCCTTTCAGAGTGTTCGATAAGAACAACGACGGCTTAATATCCTCGAAGGAGCTGCGACACGTAATGACGAATCTCGGTGAGAAGCTGTCCGAAGAGGAGGTCGACGATATGATTAAGGAGGCGGATTTAGATGGCGACGGAATGGTCAACTACGAAGGTAACGCGTTTCCCTCGCCCCTACGTTTAGACCTAATATGTTTAGAATTTATCCGGAGCGAAAATCCTGGCTGGGGTAATATTTTTCGCGATAAATCTCTTCTACTTAAATTATAGCCAGTTGTGTCGGATATAATATCAAGTTTCTGTTATTTATTCGCGAGTGAGGAAAAGATTATTACTCGTGTTTATCCTCAGCGATTATAATTTACGCTCGTATAAACGTAACTGTTAGAAAATATAAATATACATTCTTACCGGATTCTTACCCGAGAGAATCTTATTACATTCGAGTCTTTTGAAACGAGTGAATTTTAATATCTGTCGCTTTTGTAATCCTCGAACAATAGTTTGAGATAAAATTAGGTAAAAGTGCCGCGGTATCGAGAAAGATGGGGGCAAAAAATATCTTTAATATTACGACGCAGTGTAAAACCGTAGAGCAACGAATCAAAACTATAAATATATAATAAATTATATAAAAAGAAAGTAAACTGTGTGCGTGTGTCTAATATGCGTATGTTTTTAGCGAGCTTTGCAGCTAAGGCCCGGTTCCACCAACGTTGTTTGACTTTAAGCTTAGCTTAATTCGTTCTTTGTCTCTTTTCAACTGTCACTTTAAAAAGAGACAAACATGAATTAAACTAAAATTAAAGTTAAGCGACGTTTGGTGAAACCGGGCCTAATGATGAAATGCATAATAAGAATACCCGTGAATTTTATTATACACTTCTCATAAATCTCACAAATCTGATTTAGGAAATATAACACGTGAACAATTGTTATCACCAATTATTAAGACCCGGTTTCACCAAACGTCGCTTAATCTAATTGTTAGTTTAATTCGTGTTCGTCTCTGTCCAAAGCAACAGTCGGAAAGAGACAAGGAACGAAACAACGTTAGTGAAACCGGGGCTAAATTGTACATTGAATGCTAATCGGGATCGATTGTGTTTCAGAATTCGTGTCGATCCTGATGTCGAAAAATTAGTTCGGGGATCGAAGGAAGGTATAGATATTCGGAGATGCCCGAGGCAACGGGAGGACTCACGACGGAGAAAAAGAGAAATGGATCCGCCACTCAAGTTCCTCGACTTCGTAGGATCGTAACGAGAAGTCGTCTCATGCCCGGCGGAACCACCGCATCCCCAGGGCCGTCGAGGGAACGATCAGGAAGCTCATCGACCGCGGCGATAGTACGGCGCTGCGAGATCGCGGAAGCGAAATCGCGCGATTTCGATCGCGCGGAACATACCAATTTTACTCTATATATATAGCTAAGGCTTCGCGAGCGATGTGTCGAAGGTTTCGCGCGTAAGTAGCGCAGGTAGAGAATCGGGGAAGGCATCCGGGAGGTCCCTGGCTCCTCGAGCGGGACGCGCGAGTCTCGGTCGCGCGAGAGTAGCGAATCTTCGGCTTTACGACCGGACAACCGAGAGGAGAGACTTTCTTCCGCGAATTTTGCACATATTACGTACACGCATTATATACACAGATACACCTCGCGCTCCTTCGGACTAATCTTAGACGAGTACTTGAAGTTTTTAGGTATAACGGTAACGTACGGTAAAATAAAAGAAAAACAGAGAACATATGTCCAAACGACGGGGGAGGGAGGCGCGACCCGGAACAATCAACCGAGCTTCGTTTAGACTTTTACGTACCCCTAATCTTTATCTCCCCTCCGGTAATTTTACGGAGCGGGCGACAATTTAGAAGTTACCTAGCTTTCCACGCCCCTTTGAGCGCCCCCGCGAGACAGTCCTGAAGTATATACTAGTATACACGATATGTTAACGTAATATATATATACATATATACGTATGTTATAATATTATTATTATACGATATTCCTTTTGCGTCGCTCGTTTCCTTAGAACGCGACGCGCACGAAAGGTACCCGTACTTGGAGTGTTTTTACCGCTTGTACTACACGCAGAACGCGCGCAAATGTAGTGACACACAGGTAACAATACACACGTCTCCCGTCCTTGCCGTCGCCCTCTCATCGCCATCACTTCCTCGATTGTTAGTAACTTTAGAGCGGGCACGCCGACACGCCGAAGAGTCGAGATGTTGACACCCTGGCGCTTTCGCACGTAGCGTCAACTGACCGATAGTCCGCGGTGGCGCGTTTCCGTAATCAATCGCCGAGTCGAGTGGACCGAGTGCCCTGGTTGAAGGTGTGTCTCGGAAGAGCCGGCAGTCTGAGCGTTTTTCACGTTATTCCTATGGGAACAATTTCAAGCGGAGCGGCTGCCACCGTAGGACCGTACGAGACTCGGAAAGACCGTTCGTACGGTGTTCAATTCTTCATTACCGGAGGAACAAATCTAACGACCTGAACGGGCTCGTTGGTGAAGCCTCGGACGGAGCTGATGCCGCGACAATCCCTCGTTAGACACCCAAACGACCATAGTTGCCATTGTGATAGTTAACAGGTGCCTATGGTCGTTAGGTACGTGGCGGTGGCTTTTTAGCAGAGACGCACAAAGAGAAAAGGCAGCTTCTCTTGCGCGGGGACAATTCAACCAGGGTGATTAACGCGCGAGCACCCCTTCGTACGCGGACACGGCGGGCTCGTGTGCGTCGCGGTCCCTCAGAGGATGACAAATGTGGCGCGACGTGTCCTCCGCTGTCGCGCAATCAGCACCGCTCGCCGCTCGCGTCGTCGGGTTCAGGAGCGCGCGCGAGCTACGTGCGGATTATGTCGCGGTATGTATGTACCTTTAGACGTGTTACGTAAGAGAAAAGAAGAAAACGAGCCCCGCGCGTTAGCACGCGCGACGTAGACCCATAGGTAGCACCTAGCGACTCCCATAGTGACAGATGGAGGAAAAGGCGGTCGCGAGTATAAACGAGCTGTGTACACGTGGATTATTATATACTATACGTGATGCTGTGTTGCTATGTTGAGGCAAGAGAAGAGAAAACATTCGTAAAATACATTGTAGATAGTCATATATATATACATATGTGTATATATACACGTATATTTAATACACTGTATGTACATACGTCCTCTCCGCCGCCCGCGCTCCACACACATACACGCCCGCACGCTCGCGCACGCACGCACGCACCCACGCACGCACGCATGCACGCGCGCGCATTCCGACCCGGCACGAGACGGAAGTTGAAAAACGCGCGCGACTGGCAGCGCGAGAGGGACGAGAGGGTCAAAGTGATAATAGAGCGAGCGTACTATCAATCGGAGTAATTCCGTTTCATTTTCTGCGCGTCCATTGTTCTCTGGAATCTTTCATAGATTGTTCTGTTGTTCTATTATTTTATTGAATTTTCTATTACGATTTATATTATACGCGAACGAGTAACGGAACCTACGTGATTCTTCTGCGCGTTTGTCTTCTTAAACGTACCGACTGTAACACGTGAGCGAAAGATTGGATCTCCGACAAAGAACATTTACAAATTGATGAACGATATCGGTTACTACTTGAAGAGGCATCTAAACTGATGAAGTAAAATAAGCTGTAGTGGAATTTTTCCACATAATGATTATACAGTTTCTTTCGTCGGGTTTGCAAGAGTAAAAATACGAAACACCGTGTTAAGCGAAAATTTAAGGTAACAATTTAAAGAGAAAAGATAGAATAATTATTCTAAATTGCTTGCATCGTTAAATAACATCGACTAAATCAATAAAATGTGGAAACAAACTGTTACCACAGAATAATATAAATGTAAGTAAGGAGTAGTTGAGGCATACAAATTGAAATATTCCTTTCTTCATTTTAAACGTTTTCTTGCCTCGCGCATTAATCTGCATCTCGCAGTTTTCGTTTTTTATTTAAATCGAACTATTCGCATTCAAAAGCTTGAATATATATCGTAAAATCGTTTTACAATTTTATACCGATTGACTGTACGTACGTGCGCTGAAAGATAAAATGGGAGAAAGAAGGATGCGAAGGGCGATTAGTGTTTCTCTTTTTCAAGAGAGACTCCGGGTGAAACGCGCGTGTTTCGAGGTCCGGGCAACTCGAACTTTTTTCTTTCCAAGTACGAGCGAAACGTAAAAGGCGATTGGAGCGCTCGTCGAAATGGTGATTGCGGGAGGCATAGAGGCAGACAATAAATTCTGTTACTCTCTAATCCGATCCGATCGACGATAACGTTACGTTTAACGGCGAGCCCACCGCGTGTTACCGAATGCGCGTTCGTTTCGAAAGGACGCCACAACAGCGACGGGAGTTCAGGTTGTCGCGAATACGAGGGACCTTGATGATTTGATAGATACGATTACCTGTACATATGACGCGTGACGTACGATTAACGCAAACGTATATTACTTTCGCAGGCGAAAGCTGCGATCGTTGGCAGAGCCGTTGATTTTCTCGAACAGCCCGAAACGTGGGCGGTTTTACCGTGAAGATGGTCCGAGTTAAATTTTGGGGCGCAATAAGTTGAAATGGAGAAAGACGTAATGTACCTGTCTTTGAACCTTCAGAGTTTGACTTGCGTTATTTTCGGGATAAATCGTTCACGTCGCGTCTCCGATAGAATACTGCCATGACGTGACGAAAATACTCATTTTTCGACTTGAGTGCATTTAGTTAAGTTGTAAAAAACGAGTTTCAATTAGTTACAATGCAAAGAAAGTTCGACCTTTACAGCTTACTTTCACAATTCTTTTAAATAGCGTCTAGTTTTTCATCAGTTGAACAAACTGTAGCGCTACTTTCCGGTCGCTTGGACTACGAAACTTATGGTAGTCTTTTCTCGATGGTGCATCATAGTTTTATGAAGCGTACCAAGCGAGAGAGAGAGAGAGAGAGAGAAAGAGAGAGAGGCGGAGAGGGAAGACGTTTATGTAATCAACGTAATAGAACAGAGGCGCTTCAACACGCGAAATATGCAAGCGAAGAGATAGTCGTGCTTTTGACAATAATATATTTTCTTAACGCTTATATATCTCGGAGCGAGATGTCCCACCGCGCAGTGTCTTTCTTTCCATTGGGGTAGCACCGTTTCACAATAAACGCTACGTTGATTGCATACTTTTCGATCTACCGATACGCTCGAGAGATGATCGACTACGCTCTGTTCGTCGTCGACGCTCGTAACGAACCCGCTCGTGTTCGATGGTGATGCGAGGTACCGAAAGCACCGCGACTCGAAACACCGCGACCTGGAGAGTCGGGCACCTGAGCGAATATCAGCACGGCGAACCGGCGAGACGCCGATAGATAAGGGAGAAAGTAAAAGCGTCAACTTGATAATACGTCACAAATAGCAATGTATTACGTCCGAACGACAATATCTCTAATGGTTTAACTTCGGTGAGAGCCACCGAGGGGAACAGATATATACGCAGGTCCGTTCCAAACAATTAAGTATCCTGAAATTATGTACCTATACAACGCCGACAATGAGATAAGCCACTGCGCGTCAACGGCACGTGTCGCTATTTGTTCGTCGCGGCGTCACGCACTTACGATTTCTCACTATCCGTTTCGTATCTCTCGCCCTCGAACAAAGTTAGTGCTAATTAGTTCTCATTCGTGAATGACGATATTCGCGAGTTTATGCGTAATTGGTATACGAGAAATAATTAAGTTTTAACGTGGAATAAGTTCAGCTAATAGTCGCAGTTATTTAAGAATAATTTTGGTTCTTTCAACGACAATTCAAATTTTCTTCTTTTTCGTGAAATTCTATCTACGGCAAAATCCTTTTTTTTTACGAAATCTACACTTTTCTTCCATCAAATCTCCATTTTTATCACAGAATTCTGTTTCTAACCGCAAACAAATGATGCTCGGATTAAACGAAAATTAAGAGCCTACTTTCTTTGATACGATTAAAGTTATTCTTGGGAATCACAAAAATTCCAATACGCGACAGTTGCTTTCAAAGTATCAAGGTTTCCGAGACAATTTTTGGGATCTGACGATCTCAACTTGCTTATTTTGCGTGAAATTTTGTAACGGTGTGACTTCGCCTAGCTTTCTTTTCCTAGTATCGGTGATAGTGCGACGCGCGCAAGTGTAAGTACAAAAGGATTGTTCGACGTAAGCGTGCAGTGAGTTTCTATACCATATGCATAAGAGGAATAGATCGCCTGACGACACGATAGAAGAAAATGTTATCGCGAGAAACAAAATGCAAGAATCGTGTCTGTACGCTCAAAAACGCAGCGTAAGGCTTTTTACATTTCAATTATATTGAACGCACTTTGTATTCGTTAAAGTGATAATTATCCTAACTGTTTGAGGGGTAAAAGTCAATGTGCGTTTGGTACGTTTACGTGAAAAGACAGGCGATTGTTAACATCGCAACATCCGTCGTTCTAATCGCAATAATATCGATACGGAAACTGATAATAATACCCATGTTGTACCACCATCCATGCAGCACGCATGTTTAAAAGGCATCTTCAAGACATCTTTAAGTCGTCTTTTAAACATACATATCTAAAAGATGAGTTAAAGATGTCTTAAAGGCGCCTTTTAGACGCACGTGTTGTTTGGGCAGTTACGTAAATCCGATAGCTACTATTACGTGGTACATAAATTGTTCCTATCATCCCTCAAAGAGTCAGGAGGTGAACGTTCTTCGTGCTCGAAGTGAAAGAATTCTCTCTCCCCTACCCCACTCCTCCGCGATTACATTTTTGTTCGGCGCGAGAATCGATCTCTCGGGGAACTTGGAGATATTTATTGTTATATTATCATTTGCTCCAGAGCAGAGATATTTTTATAGATTACACTTTACGCCAAATCCTGCTGTGCAGCGTAATACGAATCATACGGCATTGCGTCGCGATGCATTGCATTGCACTGTATTGTATTGACATTTTTTACAGGGTGTATCGCAAAAGTCGCGCGCTCTCTTTCTGCCGCGGTTATCGTGGATCAAGGAGTCGCGGTAAAACTAAAGGAAAATAATTTAACGCGAGAGAAAATGGAAACAAAGTGACGGAATTGTGTTTCCTTGATCGATCCAGTTTTACATTTGGATTCTCTTACAGACTCTTTTTATCCACGGCTCTCATTTACCGAAGTATTTGATAATTGAATGATTGCGGAATTGAACGGAATTTCCTCGGACAATTGTCGGACAATCTCGCGCGGAAAGAGTGCACGATGCTTGGGACGCCCTACACGCGTTACATTGCATTATATATACGCATACATATACAAGTTATATATTCTCTATCAAATTGTTTTGCGAGCCGGGAAGCTCAGGAGCCAACGAATGTCCCTGGCCCGCTCGCAGACCTGCCGTTAATTACCTACGTACAGGATGTCTTGGAAACACACGCTTGCGTTGAGAATCCAAATTTTCATTGTATACATGCCAAACATATGTATCTCGAGGAAAGAAGGAGAGTACGCGTATATATATTCCCCTGGACACCCTGTACGTTTTAACGTTGCCCTCCAGAAGTAAAGGAACGTGAGTCTTCCCTCTGACGTATATTTAATCGAGACTCTTCTCCGTTACATTCTGCTTTTATCGTCGATCGCTGCCCGCAAGCCAGCCATTTGAGTAGCGAGCTCGATAGGCTAAACCGTTCGCAATTATATGAACGGAGATTGTAGAAATTGCGCGGGTCAATGAGATCTCCTTGCAGTGTCTCGCGCGAGGACACTTTGCGCGACGCTCGAAGCGAAACTTTCACGTCTCATCTTGGCGATCGTAGCGGCATCGACTAGCGGAGCGAATCATTTCGTTGATAACTCCCGCGTTACTTTTATTACTGTTACAAAAATATAGGGCTAGTCTAAGGGACAAATTTTCGCGAGATATATACATTACACCATCGACTTTCTTCGCTCGGAATGAAAGTACAGTCGGGAGCACTGAGGTTGCAACACTTTTTTTTTTTATAAGTTTACGAACGCGCAAAAAATTCAGGATCCTGAATTATTTTGCGCGTTCGTAAACTTATAAAAAAAAAAGTGTCGCAACCTCAGTGCTCCCGACTGTACAACTCATGATAAGACAAAAGCTATTCAAACGATTATTTAAAGACGAGAGAATTAATAAAAGTTATATAAATACTACAGATTATTTACATTTACGTATTGTTACGGAACTAAAGAGAATTTATATAAAATTAAGAGAAAATGAACGCGCGCGCGTTGGTGTAAATGATTTAAAGACATTTCGCATTCTCCCTTGAGCGTAACTCTATTTGAATATACATATATATTATATATTCCCCACAGAAATTTCTGATACCACCGCGCACTGTGCAAATTATATATTTTCGTCTCTTTACGAAAGACGGAGCGGTACCGTTATTTGCCCCCCTAATTAACCGAGCCCCGCGTGTTTGATTCACTCACTTTTAACGGCGCTTCGCGACCTTTTGGAATTCATGCCGATTTCGGAATCGATATTTCGAGCGCAGCCTGTAAAACGAGCGACTTCGGGGCACCTAAATCACTTCGGAGGATGATTCGAAGTTCGCCTAAGCAACGCGAGCAAGCGAGGGGTGTAATATCAGCTAGCTTAATATCAAACACACGTTGAAATACCGCAAAAAAAAACACATAATAATCAAATTACATATACGTTAAATAGATACGCGTGGAAGAACCTGATTACCTTAGACGTACGATAATTAAATGATAATTGTTAAGTAAGTGTAACTAGGTTGTATAACAATTGCGAGGGCTGTCGCTACTAAGCGACACGATCTTCCGTTCATTAAGGATCTGCGATTTTGTCGTATTATACCGGTCCGATTACACCGCTTTCTTACGAAACGATTTATAGGGTGTGATTGTAGGCAACGTGGGAAATCGTGTGCTTGGCATGCAACATTTTTCAACGTTGCATCCTTTGGGCGTCGTTTGAGAAGTTGCGTCATTCTAGTTTCTCCGCTTGTGTGCCGATTACTTTTATCGAGGGGGAGACTTTTCTTTTTCCGCGTGGACCGGAACGGTGAGGCGGCTCGTTACGTTCATTTCAGCCAGTAACGACGGGGGGAGGCGAGCGCGCCTTCCTCACGATTGTCTTTTCAGCGACCGTTTTTCCTTTTAGAGTCGCGTGGTGAAACTTCTTTGCGCCTAAATGCCACGCGAGAAGAAAAATCAGATGGAATCGCGAGAGCAGGCAATAATCGTGTGATCCACCCGACACCGCGGCCGAGACACGACGATGTTCAAACTAGTTGTAATAAGGAAATGTCTTTCATTAACTTTGTTAAACGTTATGGGGAGTACAAGCCATGTTACCGAGCAAGTATGTGCGTGTATTTCTATATTTCCGTCTAGCTAGCAGTGAGAAAACGTCCGACAGGGGTCCCGGTTTCTTGCACAATCGAGACATCGAGATATCTTCGGTGGAAGAAAATCCCAGCTCATTGTTAATTCTCTCAGAAGTCGCAGTTAGGAGAAGAAAAAAATATATATATACAACGGTTATTCGGATCATTTGTATTAATATGATCGATCGCGCTGTTAAATTTTATCTTTCGATATCATCGAGTTCGACATCAATTCGACGGTTGTCAATTGTCGACCGACAGGTCATTTCTCGCTGGGGAGAGAAGCTAAGGTGAATACGTTCAGCACAGCGATTATCAGCTTTCATTTCCCAATAATAGTTGGATCGTTTATTCGTTATATTTGTAGATAAAAGAACCTGGCAATTCTGCGATTTTCTTCCATTGGAGACAGTCACGTCCCGAGGGAACGCGACGCGAAGAAACGTACGAAGCGAGACGATCGAAGATTAGACTTACCGCCTAATCTTCGATACGGCGTAATAAGAAGAGAGATGGAAGGTGAAAAAAAGAAAACAATAAATGGAACTACATGGGGAGCTATATCGCGCTGTGAACGAGATATTTATATTTTTACTTGAGAGAAAAAATTAAGGAAGGCTACGAGGCGTTGTAACGACGAATATCCGCGACGAGGAATGTCCATGACGTTATTTTTCTAGAGTGAAG